CCCCCCCCCTTTAGTGCTTGCCTCCCTTTGCCAAACGGGCAGCCGTGCTCCGTCTGGCTGCAGACTAATCCGACTGAGACCGGATCAGTTCGCAACAGTTTCTGAAATGAGTTTTAAAAGCAGCCGAGTGTGGCTGCCTTTGTCTCCCAGCCGGTTTATGTCTGAGGAGGTGGGGGGGTCTGGGGGTGGTGAAGGGGGGTCTGGGGGGGGGGGGGGGGGGGTCTGGGGGCGGTCGGGGGGGTCTGGGGGGTCTGGGGGGGTCTCCCGTGTCCCTCTCAGCTTCCAGCCTCTGTTCTCCCCCCGGCTGGGGTCAGAGCGATGAAAGCCGTCCGCTTTGTGTTTTTGTGCTGGATCATCAATCCCTGTTCTGCCCCCCCCATCACCACAACCTCCCCCCACACACACACACACACACACACACACACACACAACCCCCCGCTGTGACGCCAGCAGAAAGCAAAGAGTGTCTCCTCAGCAGCCGTCTTAACCAAAGCTGCACACAGACCCGGAATAGGCCCAGTCTGGATCCCAGTATAGGCCCCATATGATGCCCAGTCTGATGCCCAGTCTGGGGCCCATATGATGCCCAGTCTGGGGCCCAGTATGGGGCCCATATGATACCCAGCCTGGGCCCAGTCTGGGGTCCATCTGGGACCTAGTCTGATGCCCAGTCTGGGGTCCATCTGGGACCTAGTCTGGGGCCCGTCTGGGGCCCGGCCCCACACACTGCCTGCTTCTGCTGGGGAGTGACACCTCTGAGACGGGAATGCTCTCTGACAGGCTCAGCTTCGACGAGGGGGTGCAGTGGAGCCAGCACAGCTTCTCGGCCGTGCCCCTGTTCGTGGACGGAGTCCTGGTGGAGGCGGGCGCCGACAACCAGATCATGACGTGAGTGTGAGAGGATCAGGGCTGAATGAGGCGTTGACAGGTGTCCGCCCGGGTGGTGCAATCAGAGCCGAGTGAGAGGTGAATGGCCTTTATTCATTCAGCCCGGAGCTTTTATCCCTGTCAGCTGAAGGAGGAACGGACTGAGAACCTCTGACAATAACCCAGTCACTTTAAACATAAACGAGTCACAAATAAAGGGGATTAAAGCTTCTTAATCCTTATTGGATCATCACTTTCTCTCAGACATAACAAATGTGAACCCTTTAAAGCCCAAACCAAGAAAATCTATCTATCTATCTATCTATCTATCTATCTATCTATCTATCTATC